CCCCCCCCCGGCATCCTGGAGCACTGTGAGCACGCAGGTGGCACAAAAGCTGCTTTGTCTCCTCCAGCAAAGCCCTACTGGACACCCGTATCTGATCCAGCCTGTTAGCTGGAGGTTCTCCAGCTCCCATAGGGACCACAGGACAGAGCTGTAAAGGCAGACTTTTGCTTTCTACATTCCCCCTCCTCCCCTTCTTTCTCAAAGGAAGACAACTGAGCTGTGCAGCTCAGGAAGAAAGAAGCATCCCCTGCCTGGATCCTAAGGCCCCTACACGTTAAGATCCACCTGAAAGGACTTTTATACAGTACTGCAGAGAGACTCCTTAAACCTGAACTGGTAAGTTTCTGAAATCCTGTTCATGTATATTATCCCAGCTTGAGTGCCTGCCTGTGGTGTTTGTAACAGATTTAGCTTAATCTAAGCAGATTTAGCACTAGTAACTAGAGCTCACTAATGTATATTGCAATTATGTATCATACTGGGAAATCCTGTCCCCCAAGCAAAAACACTGCTGTCTCCCAGTAGTGGAAGCAACTAATACTAATCTAAAAAGATCTCCAGATGTTTCAGACACTGCCCCTTCCCATTCACAAGCAACCTCTTTTATAGCATTCAAGAAGGCAGTGCCTAAGCAGCATGTTTTGTTCCATTCTTAATGATATATGGATTTAATTCAGGATTCCCAGTAACATTCACACTGAACTTTCACATTTGTCCTCCATCCATCCTCTCCACAGAGTATGTTCTTCATTGGAAGCAGCTGCTCCCCCTGTGCTCTTTATGAAGTGTAAGAGAACAAAAATGTTTAAAGGGGATTTTTGTCTTAATCAGAACAAAATTACTTTTCTGTCTTGTCATAAACTAAAGGAAGTGAGTCTGAGAGAAGAATTAAGCAGTAACGAGCTCCAAAGGCTGCAGAAGTAAACTGGAGGATTGAAGACTGCTCCTCCTTAATCTCAAATATTTCCCTTTTATTTTTTAGCTGTTTCACGTTATGCATCATGGTTGGGTATTTACTGCACATGTGGATCTGATGATTGATGGGAGAGTCAACATCAATTTCAATCTCTGATAAGCCCTACTGTTCCATCAGGACAGAAAATCTGGCATTCAGGCTCCCTGTACCATCCCCAAAACAGCACTACATATAAAGCACTGGTATACATGCACTAGCTCAGATTTGTTCAAAACCATTTGCAGGCGAAATTTGTGCTGGTTGGCTTTGTGCCAAATCTGCATTTCCTAGCACAGATTAAATCAATTCTGTGTTGTGCCTACTGGCCAATTCAACAAAAATAACACAATTCTCAACTTGTTCTATAGCAAAAGGGAAGTGGGACATTAATACAGGAGAGCTCAGGTCTAATATTAATGACCATGTAACTTGAAGGGCAACATCTAGATTAATTCCACGGAACTTTGAGTACTTTGCCAAGACATCTAAAGTCAGCAGCCACGTTAACCCAGACTTCCTCTATAATCAAAGGAAAGCTATACCAGAATGTTATTTAGCTTAGCTGATTTTCCACCTGAATGTGCCTGCCTCTCCCTACTGACTACTAGAATGAGCCTGAGGCAATGAGCCAGTACTACAGCCAGGCAGGTAGACTGGACCTGAGCATGAGATAACACAGCATCTCTCCTGATTTTCAGAGGAACATGAAAAACTGAGAAAAAAACCCCATATAAACCTGTATTTTGCATTAAAACCAGGTAAGTATAATTTGAAATAGATTGCAAAGAACGTTTAGAAAATAAGAAGCAACAGTAGTCAAGAGGAGTTTGCTCTCCATATAGGTGATTTGTCTCTAAGGGGCACATTATTGTTGCTCTGCCACAGAGCAATGCAGCTGACCAAACCCTGAGAGCCCCTCACCTTCTGAAGAGTTCAGTCTTTACAGCTCAAATGAAGCTCCACCCAAATGTAAGACCACCCAAATTTACAGAATACACTCCCTTTGTCTGCAGCATACTCTGCATCCACATAACATTAATTGTTGGTGTTAATTGCCATGTGCTAATCACTGAGAAATGCCACCGAGACACAGTTCCTTGCTATGAACCATTTATAAACACACAGCAGCAAGATCACAGAACTAAGCTGCGCTGGAGTTGAAGAAGAACGAAGCCTTTCCATACACCTCTAACATAAAACTGGCTCTCAGGACAGCAAAGACAGTTTTATTAGGCTGCAGCCATGTGATGATCTGTGTGAAACAAGCTCCAGATCCCAGCAATCACTCTCCTAATGCACCTGTGCGCTGATGGGAATGCAAAAGACCAGTGGCCTGAACAACTCAGGACTGACCTCCCTCATCCTCCCAGGAAGCAGAGTGTTTTATTAGCAGGGAAACAGACTGCATTTGTGGTTTTACTACCTGTGAAAGCACTTGTTCTGTGAAGAGTGAAAACTTCAATCTCAAGTGCTGTAAACATCATAAACACTACAAACATTTTAAAATAAAGCCACAACCACCTTTATTATTATCACTTCGGCACATGTCACCCCTGAAGTGCTTAGCAAACACACTCTCATATGGAAATGAACTATTTTGTCCCAGGAGTAGTTAATGAAGTTTTATAAGTAATGAAGTTGAAGCACCTGGCAATTATGCAAGTCATTTCCACTCAGGGAAGATGCTGTAGGCTTCTCAGTTTATCTCATTAATTTCCATCTTCCTCTGTATGAACTACCACTCACTACTCACCATTAAGCAATTTGTTTTCATGTCGATATTAGAAAAGCAAAGGAAAACAAAGACCCTCATCATGGAGAAAGGTTTTTTCCCTAAAAACAGAATTTACAGAAGCACATCAACACGTAACAAACACACCCAAACGAAGTCTGTATTTTAGAAGACAACCTTGTTGCAGCCTGTGTTGCATTTATAGGGCTAGATGTCATGAAACAATTTGCTGTCTTTTAAAAAGAGCACTTACCCAAGGGAATAGAGACGGCATTGCTTGCTTCTGATTCGATGTATGAGGCTAAACCTTTCATCAAGACAGACCGACCAGGGCTTCTTTGCGGTTTCAGAGTACCCTCTCAGGCTGTTCAGGTTCATGTGTTCACATGCAATCTGTTGAAATCAAAGGATGTTTCATTTTAAGACATGACTTTTAATTTGGTTTTAATTTGCCTTCTGGGGAAAGAATGGAAAGAAGAAAAATGTTAATTGGTTTCATTTAAATCTGACTGTCAATCTGATCCACAGCTATGGAGATCTGTTGATTATTTTTTTTTTTCCTTGTTCATCTGTTCTGCTTGGTGAAATTTAAGGCTTACATAATCCCCCAGAGAGCAATGCAGTTTGAAAAGCAAATAATTAAACATTAGTACTGTACCCATAAATCAATTTTCCCAAGAACAAGTTATTTCTGGATTAAAATGTTTCAATTTTTTTTTCTTTTCAAACCTTGGAGTGGATTCTACATCCTGAATAATGTTAAGATCATGTCATGACTCGAGACTGTAATCAGAAGTTGCAGTGTCAATGCAATGTACACTGTATAACCCACCTAGAGTGTCTTGGATCTCAGTTCTAGAAGGGATTTAATCATTACCCTCTCCAACAACAAAGGGATTTAAGCAAGTGCTTAACTAAACAGAGGAATCATAGCACGTGTGTCTATGCTGTGCTGGCTTAGATATCTAGAGTCCAAAGCCAGGATAAAAACACTGCAGAAGACGACATAGAGACCCTGCAGAGAGGAACACTGTAGGTCAAAGTCCTTGTAAAGACCAAGAAAGCAAGAACTAAAATGTGCTGGATTCATCACAAACCTGGAAATGTCAAAAAATCACTTACCTGTGAGGTGAAG